TCCTGAGATTATGTTGTTTACTGAAAAAAAGAAAAACTGTTTCTACTTGTGGTGTGGCTCAGCCCTAGCACACACCTTTAATCCAAGAGCTTTCTGCTTGAATATTGCAAACAGGATGAAATAAAGTCAACCACAGGTCAAGAGGTGGAGCAAGCAACCAGTTGACAGGGAGTGAACATAGGAAAAAAACAGAGCGTAAGAGGAATTCAGGAGGATGGATAGAGTGATGCATATCAAGTAAAAGGGAGGGACATTCAGTTTGAGGGCTTTAAGAAATTGTTCATTTTTACCTTATGTGCATTGGTGTTTTGTCGGTGTGAGGGTGTTGGATCTTGGAGTTACAGACAGCTGTGAGCTGACACGTGGGTACTGGAAATTGAGCCCAGGTCCTCTAGAAGAGTAGCTAGTGCTGTTAACCACTGAGCCATCTCTCCAGACCCAATCTGAGGGTTTTTTTGAGACAGCCTGGGGAAGAAAAATTCCTTCTTTTGGGACATTGGCTGAGGAGAAAGGTCACTGGGGTGCTCTCTCTGCCTCTCTGAGCTAGCAGGTTTTCACCCCAGCATCTGGCTCCTGAATCTGATTGGTAAAATTGAATGTTTGAGATTTTGTTAAAAACAACAGGGAGCCTGTGCTCCCCAAGCAATATTTGGGGGGGAGCGTGGAGGGCAAGAAATGATGTCAATTTTTTTTATATAAATGTAAATCTTCCATAGTAGGATTTTTTTTCTTTCTTCCTTAGAAGACTATATTTTTAACTATGTGGGTATATGTACATGATTGCAGTGCTCTCAGGAGAGGATGTTACTCCCTGAATCTGGACTTACAGAGGGTTGAAAGACATCCATTATAGGTGCTGTGAACCCAACTTGGGTCCTCTGCAAGAATAGTGTGTATTCTTAACCACTGAACCATCTCTGCAGGCCCCGGCAGCAGGATCTTTACCATAGCAGTTGTTCACATGTGGGGTGAAACCCTTTCGTAGGGGTCACATATCAAACACTTGTTTATCAGATATTTACATTATGATTGATTAGAGTATTACAGTTATGAAGTAGCAACAAAATAGTTTTATGGATAGAGGTCACCACAACATGAAAAACTGTATTAGAGGGTTGCAGCATTAGGAAGATTGAGATCCACTGTTATCTACAATGAGATACTGACTGATCATGAAGGGACTGATTTCCTCCAGTGCTGTGATAGGCGTTTCTTGTCCAGTATTAAGATAATTGCCAGAACTTATAAATAACTTGTGCTTTTACAAAAAGTCATGCATTAACAGTCTGTTGACTTTGTCAGTGATAATACGGCAGCTGTCAGTTGTACACTACTTTGCAGATACTAAGAAACAATATTTTTAAATTCTCTTCCAATGTAGAGTTGGCATTTTGACAAGTGAGAAAACAACTGCTTTTCAAAAGCTGTTCCAAAGGATATTTTGAAAAATGATATTTAAAAGTATTTCCATCATGGCATGTTTTCTGTTTGATTTATTTATTTTGCTAGGGTCTCTGTGTGGTTCTGGCTGCTCTGAAACTGACTATGTAGAGTATAGTGGCCCCAAACTAGTTGCAATCCTCCTGTCTCCACTTCTGTAGTGCTGGGATTATAGCTGAAGTCATTTTTTTCTTTTCAACAAGTATATCACCTGGCATGTTGACATCACATTTGTAATCCTGTAATCTGTGAGACTTCAAGGTCAGCATGGGTTTCATAGTGAGACCCTGTCTCAATAAAACCCCAAACTCAAAACATACATATCATTACTTCCTAAAAGCTCATCTATACCTGTATGAAAATAGCCTTATGTAAATCTAGATAATGGTAATTTTTCAGTGAGTACATTTAAAGTTGGGATGTAGCTCTGCAGGCTGGAGGCCTCAGTAGAATTCTCAGCTCCAGAGCAGGGTATGGTGGCTTACTTGGTTTCCCTATAAAGGTCAGTGTGTCACAGGCCTTGAGGTTATAGAAACATTGACAAGTGGGCCCCAAAGGATGAACGTTAGGGTACTTTTTCTTTGAGTCACAGATTCTCTGTGTAGTCCTGAATTCACTTTGTAGATCAGGCTGGCCTTGAACTCAGAGCTCTGTCTGTCTCTGCCTCTTGAGTGCTGGGATTAAAGGCATGCACCACCAAGAAGAGCTAAAAATAAATTAAAAAACAAAACAAAACTGGCTGGTAGGAGAGGGCATCAAATTCCTTGGAACTGGAGTTACAGCTGGTTGTTAGTGGCCATGTGGATGGGGAGAATTGGTTGTGCATCCTCAGCAAGAACAGCCAGTGCTCTGGGTGGCTGAGGCATCTCTCCAGGCCCCTACATTCTTAATATTGGCATGTAAATAATGTGGTGCTTCACCTCCTGAAGTCAGTTGGTATAGGTAGAGCTTATTTGGCAAATAATTACAGGATTCCCAGTGAGTCTGAATTTCAGAAGAACAATGAATAATTAAGCTGGGCATGGTGCCACATGCCTTTGATCCCAGCATGCAGAGAGGCAGAGGCAGATGGATCACTGTGAGTTTGAGGCCAGCCTGGTCTAAAAAGGGTTTCCAGATCAGCCAAGTCTACACAGAAAAACCCTGTCTCAAACAAACAAACAACCAACCCACCAATGAATAATCATTTAAAAGTGTAAGCCCAGTGGTTAGTTCATAGGTACACTAATACTAAAACCCAACTCACCATATGTCTGAAACTCATATTGAACTGAATGAATGCCTTTTTTCTCTGGCAACCCTATTTATTGAAAGATGGATAATCCAGAGAAACTGAGGGTGTAGTTCAGTGGCAAAGCACTTCCTAACATGCACAAGGTCCTAGATTCAATCCCTAGATTTGTCAAAAAGAGATAATAAAATGTCCAAAATAGCTGTACGGTAATAACTGTATGGTAAAGATGAGGTAGTTCTACATCTTTACTCTAGTTGATCCCTGAACAGTTAGAAAACTTTCCAGCAAAGCCCTAGAATTGAGCTAGCTTGTGACCAGATCCTGAACTATTTTTAGGCTGAGGTTTTCCAGGGATTGGTTGGGGGGTGGGGGAAGAGTCATATTTAAAATTGTGGATTAAACTATATACTTAAAGAGGGGAGAAGAGGGTATGTCTTATGTGTTGACACAGTTAAAGGCCACTTTAGACGAGTCATTAGGCCTCTCTCCCTTACCCTACGCAAACAAGGCAGGAATAAATAATGGCTTATTAATTCAAAGGAGCCAGAGGGCCCTTTTAAAATGTCTAGTTGAGTATGTCAAGCAAAGGAACTGAGATGAGAAATAACCTAGCAATAATTGCACAAAACTTTTATTATTTTTGTCAGGGAGAGACAGGGTTTTCCTGTGTAGTTCTGGCTGTCCTAGAACTTGCTCTGTAGACCAGGTTGGCCTCAAACTCACAGATCTGCTTGCCTCTGCTGGGACTAAAGGTGTGAGCCACCACTGCCCAGCTGTTGGTGCTTTGAGACAAGGTCTCCTGTAGCCCAGGCTCATCTTGAACTCCTGATTCTCCTACCTCTACTTCCTTGGATTACATGCATGCACTCCAGTGTTCACAGGATAAAATTTAAAAAAAGAAAGAAAGCATATATTTTCCTGTTTGAGGTAATATATTCCATTAGAATTCTCATTTTTAAATTTGGTGACTTTCTAGTAAGTTTAGAATGTTATAATATGAACTTTCAAACAAACTACTTGCCAAAAGACATAATTTTGCTTGATAGGTGAATATCTTCCATGTTCAGCCCACCTTTATCTCAAGAATTTCTTTAGTCCATCGTTCATGAATGGTTGTATTCAACCAGTCCTGTGCCATGTCTGGTCCGAGGATGTAATGCCTGCTAAATGGAAAGGGCAAACCCGACACCTGCCTATTTCAGGAGTTAATTGCCACTAATGACAGGGGATAGTTTCTTGGAAAAGCACTACATTGAAAAGGGGACTTTCAATTGTACCTGGTAAAATTCCAGTGCTCTTACCCAGTTTCCTCACTGAGGTCATCTTGGGGACTCCCGCACTAGCACTATCGAAAGGCAGTGAGCTACTTCTGGCCTGTACTGTGGCTGCTGGTTAACAGCTGTGCATCCTCAGGGCTCCACACTCAAGACCTTTGGCCTCACCACTACCAATGAAATAAGATACTGCTATGTTCTCAGAATGTTTCTTGTGGCTTGCAAATGCATCTGGAACCAATGGACAGAGAACTTTCTCAATTTGGATTTTGGCAATTTTCTTCTCACTTTTTTTGGGGGTGTGTGGGGAGAGATGAGGGGATTGTTAGTGTTAGAGGTTGAACCCAGGGCTTGAAGCATGCTAAAAGCATGTGCTCTACTACAGAGCCACAATATCAGCCCCTACCCCTTCCCAATACCAAGTGCCCTATCAGCCTAAACAATTCTTTTTTTTTTTTTAATGGATAAGTTGAGGGTGAATTAGAAAACTGAATTACGGAATAGAAGGGTGGTGATAAATTTTTGGAGGGGACAGGTGCACTAACAAAAAACCCACAGACAACCTCCTTCCAGAGGTCTGGTCCAATCTCGGGTTCCCTCACTTGGACCGGGACTGGGCACCCCAAGAGGCAACGAGCAGCGCCGGGCGAGCCGCTGGCCCCCTCCAGGGAAGGAGGGGTGAGCCGGCAGCCGGGCCGCCACCACCACCGTGATTGTTACGCGCGTCCAACTTCACAGAGTGCGGCGCGCCGGGGGCGCACCGAGGCCGCCGTCCAGCGCCAACCGCGGCTGGGCGCGGGCAGCAGCCGCTGCGAGCCGCCGCCCGCCGTCTCCCGACAGCCGTCCGTGGGGGAGGGGCGGCTGGCGCCCGCGCTCTCCGGCCCGGCGGCCGGCGGAAGGGCCCCGCACCGCGGAAGCGCGACCGCAGCTGGGGGCGGGGGTGGTGGTGGTGGCGGGGCGGGGGCGGGGGGGGGGGGGGGAGGGGGGGGGGGGTCAGCTGCTGGAGGAGGCGGAGGAGGGGCGGAGCCTCAGGGGGAAGGGGAGGGAGGGAAGCGACCGTGAGGAAGCCGTGAACGCCGCCGACCGTCTGCACGCCTCGCTCCGTCTGCCATGGCTGGCTGAGGAAGCCTCCGGCTCGCCGCGGCGCGCGGGGAGGGACGGGAGGGGAGCGGCGGCCGGGCGTGCGGCCGAGGGAGGGGCGGCGGCGCGAGCTGCGGCGGCGGCGGTTCCAGCATGAAGAGGAGAACTGGCCTGGGGGGCAGCATGAGGTCAGTGGTGGGCTTCTTGTCCCAGCGGGGCTTGCATGGGGACCCCCTGCTCACTCAGGACTTTCAGAGGAGACGCCTGCGGGGCTGCAGAAACCTCTACAAGAAGGACCTTCTCGGCCACTTCGGCTGTGTCAATGCCATTGAATTCTCCAACAATGGAGGCCAGTGGCTGGTCTCAGGTAAATCAACCCACTTCCTTCCCCTCCCCACGCCTCCCGGGCCCCTTCCAGCTGCCCCTTGCCCTTCCCCGCCATCCTCCTGCTGCCCTGTGTCCCCACCCCCCGCCCTTCCCAACCCCTTCCCAGCGGTGGGAAGATTTGGTGTGAAATTAATACCATTGCAGGGGGAGGGAGGGAGGGAGGGGGAGGGAAGGAGGAAGGAGAAGGAGAGGATGTCTTCTATAAAGAAAAAAAAAAAAAAAAAAGACCTAAAATGGTTGACAGGTCTTTAATGCGCTTTATCTCAAGTGCAAAGTGGTCCCTCCAGATGTCTGCCCTACCAGTGTGGGTCGGGGATGGGGGCGAGGCTGCGGCTTGACTAAGTTGGATGGCAAACTCTTCCTTTGCGTAGTTTAAAAGGTGCGGGGGCCGCTTGGTGGGGGGGCGTCTCGCAGCGGGGAAGAGGCCGAGGCGCGCCAGAGGCCCGGGGGGAAGCTCGAGCCCCCCCTCGTCTTGGGCGTCTTGGAGAAAAGGGGCCTCGGAGCCGGAGGCCGGCGTTGACAGGGTGGGACACCGAGGGGCCAGCGGGGTCGGGCGGGTGGTGACGGGCGGCCGAGCGGCGTCCCCTCCCCCCCTCCCCGGGCTCTCTCCGGGCCCAGTCCCATCTCCCTTCAAGCACTGGTAGCCTCTTCCGCGTCTTGTTCTTATTATGGTTCCGAGGGCTCCGGAGACCGGGGTGGGGGGCGGGGGGGACACCAGCTTGAACTTGGATGCGCTGCTCCAGAAGCAGGGGTTCGGGACGACCCCCCGAGAGACTTGCCGGCGGGAGGTGGGCCCCATCACCTCCCTTCCTCCGCGGCTCCTGTTGCAGGGGCTGCTGGCCTCCTCCGCCCCCCTCCCTCCCCACGGGCCTACTTGCCTCCAGGGTCCCCTCGCTGGGGTGGGGAAAGTGGTGCAATCGAGGCCGGGGCTCCGGCCGGGCGGTGTAGGCCTTACTCTCCCGGGGCTCCTAGCGACAGGCAGCTGAATCGATAGCCTATTGCTCCGGGGGAGGCCCGGGCCGGAGCGGCGGCGGCGGCGCCTGCGTACGCCGCGGTCGGGGGTCCCTGGCGGCCGCCCGCTCCTCCCCGGGGTCGTGGCCCCGGGTGAGGGCGGGTGCGGCTGGGCTCTCGCCTGGGAAGGGGCGGCTCCCAGGAACCCCGCTGCGCTGCGAAGGGCCTAGACCAGTTCGGGCGTTCCTGCTTGCCTCCTTCCTGCACTCCTTTTCCTACGCTGGGAAGGTTGAAGGGGAGCCCAGCCCTGGACGTGGCGCTCGACTTCATCCAGGTGGATGTCCGAATGGCTTTCTAATTTGCGCCATTGGGCAGCTTTCCAGAAACTTCGGCTTTTATGGCAAAGCATCTGTCTTCCTCGCAAGTAACAGGCGGAAGTGACACCATGAGTATGGTCCAGTTTGTGGGTAGCTGAGATAAAGAGGTCTGTGATTATTTCAGGACAAACCGGGGGTTTCTCCAGAACTGACCCCCCCCCCCTTTTCACACCAGATCATTTTCCCCTGGCATACAGTTTGGACCCTAGATGACTGTCCCCCTTCCCCAAAGAAACCTGATAGACTACTTCAAGGCAGCCCCTGCATTAAAAAAAAAAAAAAAAACTTCCTTCCACACACCACGGCATAGAATTTTATCTAATAAATTCCAAGTACAAAAATGGAGAAAGACCCCTTCTTTGAAGGCTGTTTCTGTTTGTAATACAACTCTCTCCTGAGAGGGTCTCCCAGACAGTCTGTACCTAGGGAATGAGTGAGGATACCCTTACAATGAGTTGATAAATCATAACTGATCACACATTGCCCCAGCCTAACACACTTTAGGGGTAAACTTGAGATATAATGTGCATACCGTAAACTTCTCCCATTTAAAGTTAAAGCATTTTACTTTTTTGTTGTTGTTTTGAGACAGGGTTTCTCTGTGTAGTCCTGCCTGCCCTGTAGACTAGGCTGACCTCGAACTGGGAGATCCCCGACTCTGCTCCGATTAAAGATGTGCTCCAGCATGACCCTGTACATTTTACACAGCCCAAAGGCAGAGAAGTAATAGTTAATACATTAAAAAAAAGAAAAAACAAAAACAAAACATCAGAAGGGCCACTGAGCAGTATGTACTTCCAGCATGCATTTTGTGATCCTTACCTTAAGGATCATTTTTTGTTTTGGTCCCAGGGTCTTGCTCTGTAACCCACCTCTATATCTGTATCTTAGTTGAACACACCATGATCTCTAGTCTTGGCCAGTTCATTTCTTTTTGGTTTTTGTTTGAGAGTGAGTCTAGTTCAGGTGGGCCTGAGCTCAGCATGCCGCCAAGGATGACCTTGAACTCCTAACCCTGCTATCTCTACCTCTCTAGAGCTGAGTTTATATTGCTTTATTTCTTTTTATTTTTAGGGGACAGGGTCTCACCCTGTTCTCCCAGGCTGTGGTAGAACTCACACTGAAGTTCGGGTTGGCCCCAGGTGCCTTAGCCTCCAGAGTGCTAGGACAAGTGTGAGCCATCATGCCCCAGGGTCTTACTTTCAGTTTATGCTGAGGAAAAGGGCTGGTTGCATAGGACAGATTCTGGTTTTAGGTAGTCTGTTCCTTCTCTAGCCTTGATTTATCCATCTCCAGTAGTCAGTACTTCCTGGGTTCCAGCCCAGCAGCCCTCCTCCAACACTCCTAGTTCTGTTCCTGTTTGTTTGTTTGTTTGTTTGCGTTTTTATCAACTCCTGCTTTTGCTCTTAGTTCTTTTAGCAGTCAGTTCTATTGGCCCTTCCAGTTTGGGTCAGCTATTGTTTATTCCCAGGACACAAGTTTTGGTTAAAAGCAACTCACCTTGCATTATGAGAACAGCTTGTATTAACACAGAATTCTTCCTGCTTCGTTTGACAAGGAAGCCCCCTTGGAGATTCATAAGACACTGTAACTTGTTAAAGCTAATTAAAAAAATAAGTTTTCCCTTGAGAAGTCCTTCAGTGATCTTTCCAGGTTTAAAATGATTTGAGGTGTCATATTTACGTGCTTTTTTCCTTTGATTTATTGAAATAGGGTCTCAGCCCAGGCTAGTATGGAACAACTCAGTATGTAGCTGAGGTTGACCTGGGAACTCCTTGATCCTCCCCCTTCCACCTCGAAGGTGCTGGGATCCCTCACCTGACCCCTTTGTAATTTGTTCCTACCTGTCACAGTCCCTTACTATTAACAATTACCACGTGAGGGGGTAATCACATGCTAGCAAGAGCCTAATGTATCTGTGGCCTGTAAGGTGGGACTCTGGGATGGGATGGTAATTAGAGTTCTTTTGTGCATTTTGTTGTTTTTTGTGTCTTGTTTTGGATTGGTGAAAGCCCCTATGAGAAGTGATACCTCTGACAGAGTATCTGTAGTTGTTTGTTTTCATTTGCTAGTAGTTTGGCCAGGCCCACAGTTTGCAACTAATACACAGGATTTGATAGAATTATTTAAGACCTAGGACAGAAATATTTGTGTGGTTTCTATGGCCATATAAAGGGTTATTGCTTAAGGATATATCACTCTCCTTATCGTTAATCTGTCTTCCAGGTTACAGTGAGGCTTGCAAGTATAAATGTAACTTCGAGGGTATCAGAATAAAAAAAAAAATGTTCAGCTATGACACAAGGGAGAGGATGATTGATACTTTAAATTATTTGACACTTAATGTTTTTTAAAGTTTTATTTGTTCTATGTGTATAGTTGGCTTATGTGCATGTATGTCTGTGTACCGTATCTATGTCTGGTGCTCTCAGAGCCCCTCAAATTGGAGTTAGAGATGGTTGTGAGCCACCACGTGGTGCTGCTGTTCCCTGGAACCATGTTCCCTGGAAGAGCAGCTATTGCTCTTAACTGCCGAGACATCTCTCTAGTCTTACTTGACACTTACCATTGTGAAAAGTGACCATGGTGGCACACACTTGAAGTCTCATCCACTTGGGAGGTTAAAGTAGGAGACCAAAAGTGGACAGTGCGGGTTATTTAGCAAGAGCCTTTACTTAGAAAAGAAAAGAAAAGGAAAAAAAAAAAAAAGGCTTAGTAGTAGGTATGTATAGAGTGATTAGCCTAGTTTTCAGGGCTCTCTGTTCAGTTCTAGTCTGGAATATACACACGTTTGAACTTCTGATCCTCCTGTCGCCACCTCCCCAGTGCTTCAGCCATGACCGGTTTTAAGGAAAATTAAAATATTTTCATCAAAAAAGTTACTTTTATGTTTATTATCAATCAGGAAACAGCAATGCAATGATGCCATGCAAGCAGTGTGGTATTATGTCATGACATGTACCTAAAATCATTGCTAGGCCACTTGAACCTGTGACTTCACAGTATTGAGTTCTGTGCTGCTGTTTTCTGGCCTGCAGTGGGAATACCAGGGCCTACCCAAAGGGTTGTTATGAGACTTCCATTATGCAAAGTATATGTAGGCTGCTGAACACAATGCAAACATTGGATAGTAAAACCTGTTTGTTTTCTTAACTTTTTGGTATTTATGGTGTCACCCATAGTTGCCAATTTGTTCTAACACTGCAAATTAGGCAGACAGTATGGTTTTATGACTTCGTTGTTGTCATGCTGGGGATTGAACTCAAGCTGTGGGCAAACACCTAATATAGGGTGATATGTGATTTGAAGTTAGAAGTCTTAGCAGTCATAGCTCATATGAATTTAGGTAAATTACTTCAACATTCATTCATAAAATAAGGGTACTAGATTGCCCTAACTACAAGACAGATGGTAATAAACCGTCAGTGAAATTGCTATGCATGAGAGAGCTGAGGCTAGGGATGTAGTTCAGTTGACAGAGGGCTTGTCTAGCATGTGCAAAGCCCTGGGCCCGATCACCAGCACCACATAAACCTGGCACTGGACAAAGCTGTCAGCATGGTTCATGCCTGTGAGCCTAGTGCTTGAGAAGTAAAAGGCAGGAGGATCAGAAATTTAAGGCCATCCTTGGCCATACAGTGAAATCGAGGCCAGCCTAGGCTCGTGTTTCCAAAGGAAAAAAAGCAAACTTATAAAAGAGCAAACAATAGGAAAAAGAAAAAACTAAAGAGGTAATGAAAATGTACATACTGGAACTGGGAATATAGTTCAGTGGTAAACCACTTGCCCAGCAGGCATGAAACCCTAAGTTCAAGCTCCACAACTGCGAGTAAACTATACCAGCGTGCAACCACATACATAAAAGCCAACTCCGGGATAATCCCTACATCTATGTAGTACTCTCACCTTACGAATATCATTAGGATTGCTTGCAAGAAACACTTAGTCCTTGAATAATAATGATATATACATAAATATATACATACACACATATAAAACTAATAAAGCATAAACTAGACTTTTAAAAAGTAGGGTTTATACAGCTAGGGAGATGGCTCAGTGGTTAAAAGCACTGGCTGTTCATGCAAAAAACGCGGGTTTAGTTTCTAGCACTCACATGGTTACTTAGAATCATCCATAACTCTTTGGATGTGTGAGTAGCCTTTAAGTCAAATATCTTTGAGATTTGTTTGGAAGGCCAATCAGAAAATAGCTCTGTATGTATCTGACATGGATTATAAAATTGGCTTCTTAAATATTTTATTTAGTTTGCATGTATGAGTGTTTTGCTGCATGTGTGTGTCTGCATCACTTTTGCCTGGTGCCCAGAGGCCAGAAGAGGGAGTCAGATCTCCTGAACTGGAGGTACAGATGGTTGGAGCCGCCTGTGGGTGCTGGGAAATAAACACAGCCTTCTGGAAAGCCAGCCAGTGCTCTTAACTGCTGAGCCACCCCTCCAGCACCTCTTATATTTTATAAGTGTAAAGGTTTGTATAAGCAGAATCTTAGCAGTTGAAAAAGGAGTTTCTGCTCTTTGGTAATGAGAATTTGTTGTAATCTCTCTCCTTCATTGAGGTCTGAGGCATTGGACTTTGTAGAGCTAGTGGGTTAGGAGCCCATATGTAATAAATTTTATATTTCAGTGAGATTATTATCTCATTCTGGTGTTTATGACTAAGTGTTAAGAAAAGTACTTTTAGAAGCTTTTCAGGTTCCAAGTGGAGAGCTGTGAATGAGGAGAGACATTTAGTTGTTTGGTCATGTTTTATAAAGGGAGATAGCCATTTAGTCTGCTCCATATACATGAACTGCCAACATCATTGGTTACAGGAGTCTGTAGTTATGTAGAGAGTCTGAGATTTTCCACTCTTGCTAACTTAGCTGCCTTTGACAAGTCATTTATTGATCCTGTCTCTCTCCTCATCCATGTAGTAAGGTCAGCAGTATCCCGGGGTTGGGATGAAGACTGAATGAGCTGACCCCAGGGGCTTAGTCCTGGCTCTTGTATAGAGGTCCTATTGCTGCTACAGTTGCTGTTTCATTTGAACCTCACAGATGAGCAAAAACAAAGACCTGCTCAAGTATCAGCTCTCTAAGTGGGTTTCTTTGCCAGTGTAGTCTCTGTAGTTTCATAGTTGTTTGTGTTAAATTGGTAGTGCCCCATAAGGGGAGATTTTGCAGGATAGAGTTGGGCAGTCTCTCCAGCTGAGTCTCCAGTGTGAGGCTGAGCTATAGATCTTACTTTGGACAGTCTTTGTTTCCTTCCTAGAATATTAGTCAAGAAGAGGAATTTGTTTTTCATTCTTAAGGCTGGTTTTATGAAGTCCAGGTAGGCTTTGAACTCACTATGTAGCCGAGAATGACCTTGCATTTATGACCGTCCTTTTAACCTTCTAAGTGTCGGGATTATAGACTTAGGCCACCACACATGGCTCAGGAGGAAGATGCCTGTCAAAATTATGTTACATAGCTTTCTTTTCAATTCCGAATTCCCTTTCAAGTCTATCTAAATTCTAGTTGTATCACTTGACCTCACTACCTAGTTTGAAGCCCTGAGGATTGTCTTTCTCATTGTTGGGTAACTTGACTGAGTTTGATGGCTTGGTTAAAAATACTTTAAGAGTTATTTTGTACACGTGTGTTCATGTGTGCATGTGCAAGCATGATGCTTGAGTTTGGTTCCCAAAATGTGTATCAGGGTCAGAGGGCAATTTTTGTGGAGTTGGTTTTCTCCTTCCACCTCTGTATGGGTCGCAGGGATTGAACTCATGTCTCCAGGCTTGTACAGCAAGTGCCTTTACCCACTGAGTCATTTTTTTTTTTTTTT